GATGAGGTAGAGAAGATCTGCATCTCACCAACTCTCTGGTCTCAGTATTCAGACAACGGAGGTCTCCCACTGTTATCCAGGACCAGTTTGAAGCCCACATACTGCCCCTCCCTCATCATCAGGAAACATCAATCCGTATCCTGAGGACAACAGAAGACGGCAGGAGGACAGGAACTCTGAGACCTAGAAACCACCAGCACCTAGACACAAATTACCTGTGTGCACAACGCCTGTTTTAACTACTAAAGCCTGTTTATTATATTGTTCTACTTATTTGCTGTGAGGTTAATACTTAGAAAATTTGTATATTAATGTAAACAATTAAAAAAAAATCACTGATTGTATGTTTTCTTTTAGATGTAATGGTCCAAACTCAGCCTTGTAGACATTTATTGCATCCTGTAGGTAAATACACAGAACAGGCTCAGGTCCAGGATGACCCAGCATGCTCTTCTTCCATTCTGGCTGTTAGGGATTGTATCAATAACTCAATGCCTACTGATGTTTCCACCTAACGGTATTTATTTAGAATGCAGGTCAGATTTAACTATATTTGTTAGCAAAGCAGACTGATCTTGGGAATTTCACTGCAGCACTGATGTCCACCTCTCTGTACACATTAGAGAGAATTACCACTTTACAGCTAAACACATTTAATAAAGATATAGGCTACGCATTGCAGACAATAAAAACAAAGTTGTAAGCATTAGAATTATAATGATCACATTAAAGAACATTTGGAGGAATGCTCTTTATTTTTGACTCGAATCTCAAATCTTTAAATTAAAATGTAACTGCTTTTTATCCATTTTCAGCCATTAAGACACCCAATATAAAATAAGACTACTTATAAAATTATTTATAATTATATGTATGTATATATAGATAGAGATCTTAATAAAATGTATTCTTTTAATGGTGTTTTAATGAGCTGTATCATTTTTTTAAACATTTTTTATAGAAATAAATAAGCAAGCAGCATTCCTTGTGTGTGTGTGTGTGTGTGTGTGTGTGCGCGCGCACGTGCCTGCTAGCTTGTCCCTCCGTCGGCCGTGACGGGTGTGTGTGAGTGACTACAGACAAATGCATGAGAGAGTTAGCAGCCTTGAAACAGCTTGATGAACTACCCTCCCCACATGTTTTAAAAATGCTAATATGCTATGCTAAATCTGCTATGCTAAATAATGATTTCTCTATAGAACTACAAAGTCCGACTGGGGGAGGAGAGTACAGGTCTGCACTATGGAGGGGGGCGGAGTTTACAGCTCCTCCTCCAGTTTAAAGAGACAGTACCCAAAAACGGCTCGTTCTCAAGACTCTCCTCAGAACAGGGGTAGATGAGGGTCTGTAGAGCAACAATAATGAGGAAATCAGACCAAAGAACTGCAGTTCCACTGTATTTAGACCCCAACTGAAGGATTTAGATGTAAAAAGGAATAACTTAAAAGCATGTTATGTCTCCTTTAAACAAAGATGAGGGTAAGATGTCGAGAGGGCATGCAGAGGTCTTTATAGAGTTAACTAGTTTGGTTAACTCAGGCAAAGAAACAGGAGCAAAGCTATCTAGGATGACGGGCCTGGTTGCAGTCGGGAGAGGCAGCGATAAGGCTGAAGGAGAGATGCTAGATCTAACCTTATTGACTTTGTCCACAAAGAAAGACAGAAAGTTTTCACAGTCTGCAACAGAGGGGATGGAGGCTGTAGGAGAGGCAGGAGAGACGATACTGCTGATGGTGGTAAACAGCACCTTGGGGTTCCCTTTGCTCTGGGACACCAGGTTGGAAAAATAGGCAACCCTCACGTCTCTGACTGCAGAGTTAAATGATGTCAGAAGATCCTTTAGGTGCAGCAGATGGACGTGGAGATGGGTTTTCTTCCACAAACGCTCAATTTTTTTGCATTGGCGCTTCAGGCTGCGAATGCTGTCATTAAACCAGGGAGTAGGGTTCACTGCAGGAACTGATCTGGTTCTGACAGGACAGATATTGTCCAGAGTGGAGAGGCAATGCTCGTTAAACTGAGACGTTAAGGAATCTGGGTCGTTATCAGAAGAACAGGCTGGATCAAAAGCAGCAGAAAAATTGCTAGCTGTGCTCTCATTAAGAAAACGAGAACTAACCATACGGCGAGCAGGAGGTGGGGGCACAGAAACTGACAAGTTCAAGAAAATGCAATGGTGATCAGAAATGTAAAGGTCCTCAGGACAAACACTGTCAGCATTTAGACTCAGGGTAAAAACAAGGTGTAGATTGTGTCCCCTGGTGTGTGTGGGGCCAGAAACATGCTGGGTAAAGCTGAAGGTGTCCTTGAGGCTGGAGAAATTCATGACAAAATGGTCTGAGGGATCATCAACATGGATGTTAAAGTCACCAACATTCACCAGTCTGGACAGCTTCACAGTGGAGAATAGAAAGTCACTAAGCTCCTGAAGGAAAGAACTGTTTGGACCAGGTGGACGATAGACCACAGCACAGTAGAACGGGTCCTTATGCCCTACTTTAATCAGCTGCAGTTCAAAGGAAGCAAAATAACCAGAGGTTGTAGAGCTACATGGAAGATGGTCTCTGAGAACAACAGCTAGGCCTCCACCACGACCAGAAACCCGGGGCTGGCTAAGAAAAGAATAACCACTCGGGCAGAGTGCAATCAGACCAGAATAATCAGATGTTTGCTACCAAACTTCAGTCAGAAACAGAAAATCCAGATTTTTAGAGAGAATTAGATCATTGAGCAGGAAGGTCTTATTGTTAACAGAGCGGGTATTTAATAGAGCCATGCTGAATGAGGTGGAGGAATCCGAAACTACAGAAACAGCTGGAGTTAGTGGACGTAAATTAGCAGGGTTAGATCCACGGTGTTTATAAAAACCACTTACAGAGGGAACAGGAGGCGAAACCACTGAAGAATTAGGAAAAACAGACCTTAAAAACTTGAACAGAGAAACCGAGCCATAACACGGCCTGGCGGGAATGCAGAAGTGGCACTCAGGTTGCCAAACAAAGGACAAGAAGCTAGAAGATCACACCGATGTTTACTAGATAAACCACGCTTTAAGAGAAGTCATATTCTCACCCGGATCCCGGGACCGGATAAACATTGCTGGAGGCGCCCTTCTGGGAATTGTCGTTTGACTCCGGGCCAGTGCGCTGCTCAGGTAAACTAAGAGGGAGGTATATCCTCGGTGCATCTTGGGTGATCGTGAATGAACAGAAGGATAAAAGAGTCTGGTGATCATAGGAGATGGTAGCAGGGACACTACCGAAGAGGATCACAGATAGGAGCAAGGTGGAAAAGAGGAGGTTAGTGGAGAAAAGTTTGAAAAAGTGTCCGGTGACCACGGCTAAGCCACGCACAGGCGCCATCTTGTTACCGACCAGAAGCGGAACTTGAACTGAGCTGAACTTGGATGAAGATAGCAAAATATACACCACATACTCAGCAGGATGCACTCTGACACTGACATCATCAACACGCCTTTCTGCATCCTCATCAGTTCTGGATAGCCGTCCTCTCCTACCTCATAGGACTCGACGGTAGCAGCCTATGTGGGCCTCAATGTTTACTTTTTCCATTTTTTAAAGCGTTAGATTGCTAAATCTGACTTAGGAAGTGTTTTTACAGTATTTGTTAGACAATCAACGAGGCCATATCATCTCTATGATAAAATATGGCCTGGCTGACGCCGACACCGGTATGTTCACATCTGCAGCACATGATGCACACTGATGTTGACAATAAACCTGGGTGGTTTGAAACATTGTCTTGTTGGATTTAAAAAACTGGAGCGGAAGAAGAGAAGATGAGATGTGACATATTCATTGTGCTTTTCTGAGGACCCAGCCCTGCAGCAATGAACAGACCTAATTTGTTGCGCACATTGGTCCAACACACGGATTCCCACCATTGCCAGCAGGAACTTCCACAAAAGGTTAAGTTAAAAACTGTAGCTGGAAGACAATCAGTTCAATCATTATTATCAGGTGTGTGTTCTGTAAAAGCCATAGCCTTGAAAATAATTTGTCGAAACAGTGATCCTGTCTGCTGCAGTTCAACTTTATCAGTCCTTTCAGCTCTTTTAGTTTAATTGTAACTCCAGATGCACTTCTAGATTTCTCTCCTTCAACACAGCCTGTGCCTTGCCACCAACCAAACCCACAGCTTTTTTTTTTTTTTTTTACTTTGATGAAAACAAACCTGCTCGGAGGTAGGTTTTGGGTCATCTTCCTGTAGGTTTTAATTGGTCCAAGTTAGGTGTTGTCCACACAGTATAGCATGACTTTGCATATTCCCTTCTAATGTACAGATTTCCTACTTTACCGTACAGCAGTAGCAGCATGTACAGTAGCGTAGTACTGTAGTGAAACAAACAGCTTGAATTAATCAAAATGGACCCATGCTAAATTGTACAGGTGTAAAAACAAGCACTATAACATTGCATTGGTATGACTTGTTTAAACAATAATTGTTTGATTTCACTTAAAATGACCCAAATATCTCTTTAAGCTACACTGAATGAAGACATCTGTTGGATTCATATTAGGGCTGGGCGATATGGCCTAAAATCAATATCAAGATGTATTGAGGATTCCACCTCGATAACGATAAATGGACGATAACTACAGGTATGCGCAGAAACAAAAGGTGTCCACTAAATGGGGTTGTCACATGTATTACGTTGAGTCACATTTTTACGTGACTCAAGGTGGTACAGCTTCTTAAAGAGACACAATATTAGGAAAAAGGTACTCGATAAATGTATAAACAAAACATAAAAAGTAAACAAATGACTTCAAGATTCAACCAAGGCAGTTACATCGCCCTACTTTCTCAACATTGGCTGATCCTCTAAAACTCTGACATGAAAGCCTGCAAGTGATTTGACATAATGCTAGACCCAACATTTGCAATAATCCTTTTTTGGTGTGAACATATTTGACTATAAATTTATGGATGATGATGTAAAGAAAGTATTCAATTTTGGTGATTTTCTGGATTTCTAGGATTCATTGGGCGGGCACGGAGACAGCCACCCAGTGGTGTGGCTACATGAGCGGTGCCGTGCAAGCCGGTCAGCGAGCTGCTCTGGAGGTCTTGGCTGAAGTTTGCCATGTGGTTCTGACATCAGAGGAGCAGGAAGCTCTACATAATCAAACTCCGAAGAGTGCCGGGATGCAAACAACTTGCAAACTCAGGTCCCTTTTCACAGGTAAATCTGTGATGGTGGCAACGCTCACAATCACCGCTGTTCTCCTGGCTCGGCGTCAGAACGTTTTCACAAATATCGCAACCCGCTTGACAAACATCTTCAACAAACTAGCTTAATGTACTTGAAAAAATAAAAATGAATGGATTTCAATAAATGCCAATATGCTCATATTTACAAAAAATGTTTTTTGTTGCTTCAAAACCTCCAAATGTGCCATTGAATTCCTATAATTCAGCTTGAAAGCCCAGTGGCTTCAAAGTGGTCATGTTGTGTTTAAACAGGTGTGCATGGAGAATGCTGAGCTTTTGTGTCTTACACGGTTTCCCAGTATGCCATAAAAACCTGCATGAAAAGGTTGGAGCAGAGCCACGAGCACATTTGTTCTCCCACAAAACACCAATACCAGATATTTGAATGAGCGTAAGATGGATGAACTATGCCAACAATGATAACACCCCAGACTAAGTGATTTAATCAATATCACTAGATTGGACAGTCGATTGAAAGGATTTTTGTCAATGTTTACGTCTCCTCCAGAGAGTACCTCAAAAGCCCCCACATAACTGTATAGTGACTGGTGACTCCATTGGCGCTGTGGCATTCCATTTGTCTGTTATCACTAGACTGCACTGAATCAACCTCGTTTCTTTCTGAGCCAGACCCAAACTGAAGCATGGCCAACAAGACAACATTTCTATATGTGTTGTCAGTGTCCTGCAGATTTGATAATGACCAATTTCAGTCATAAACAAGCAACGTGCAATGGTTAAAACAAATAAAATAAACTTGACCTTAAGTTTGAATGGTAAATTTGTAGGGAAGGTTTGTTTTATCTTGCCTTGTCAGTGGTGTTAAGTGTTAAACAGTTTCTAGTATGAAAGCAACAACAGTTTGAAATTGTAATAATTTAAACATGATAGTCAAATAATGATGAACTGTGTTGGAACAATCAAGAGAAATAAAGACTGTGGTTAGATTAGGTTTTCATTTATTAATTATGTGGTTTTATTTTTGTAATATTCATCATGATCTTTTTTTAAATTCTGAAATAAAATTATTATAATGCCAAATTTACTCAATTGTCATGTTTTTCATAGAAATGCAAGATGGCTTCAAGGATGTTAAATGTCTGCTTCTGCATATTTAACAAAGTTTGCGTGCTTTTGCTCTATAGTTGTGTTAGATTTTCACCTTTGTTGGCATTAATGTGTATTTGTCCAACAAATCTTCTCAAAACAAGCTTCTTTTGTTGTGTTTGTCTATTGCTTGTGATTTGACTTGTAGTCTTTGCCTGTTGCATGCCAGGCATTTGGCAGCTTTTATCCAAACAAACCTACATAGAGGCGAGGCAATGTGGATGAAGTACCGTGCTCAAGGACAACAGCAAAAATGAATAGGAATCAGAATTCAACTGTCAACCTTCGGAATACTGAGCGACCAGCTCGGTCTCTTGAGTCGCTGCTGCACCAGTTTTCTTCTTGTACATTTATTGTCGGCTTGCACTGTTTGTACAATTGTGAAGAACTCCCATGTTCGATCGTTTAACTGTGAAATAGAAACCTAGGGCTTTCTTAGAAGCAAACGGGCCACAATCAAAGTACAGTATGCTACAATTAAGCTGATATATTCTGCTTGAAAGTTATTTTTCAGACTCTAAATCTTTGTTCATCTCACAGTGGAAAAAGAAGCACAAAACTTTTGCTTTCATTGCCCCAGGCCATAAAAATACAGAGAAGGAAATATGTGATTCATAACGAATCCTTAAGTGAGATGGTTTCGTTGATACTTCGATGCTCCCCAGATTGGAATAAAATGCAATTATGAATATTTCATACTGTGACAGTCTCAGGGAGCAAAACATTCACCACAAGTTGGAAACAAAGAAGACAGTTTAGCTTTTCCTGCACTCACCAGTACACTGTAGCCTTAAGTGTGTGTTTTAATGTTCAGTGAAAGATCTCTAAGTAATGTTGCTGTAATTACTGTAGTCTCTGTAAACAACTGCCAAAGCACTTGTGTTCGTGTTTGCATTCAGGCAACAGCACCAACTTTAAAAATTGATACTTGGCAGTGCGGCATAATCAGTGTTTGTGACCATAAACAACTAATTTTACAGAATCAAACCAGAGCCCTTGTCTTAAAGCTACATTCTTGCTGCTGTGCTGTTATTTTGAAACATGAAGTGAGGGTTGTTCTACAATGGTGCACAACTGGATTAAGTGCTGCTCTCAATTACTTTCTAAATTCGATTAACAACTCGTTTAAGCTCTCTATGTTTTCATGATTTTCTTTGCAATTGTCTATTCATTTGATTTAAACCATAAAAAATGTTGCCTACAGTAAAAGGTTATTTTAGGTGAAGTTGTTATTGTTTTCTCATGTCAGATTTAAGAAGATGTTGAAACGTTTCCTCAGAGGTTCTGGTCTGTATTGACATGAAAGCATCACACAGTTACATCTATGATGTGGATCTCCTGTTCTACTATGTCCCAAATAATCAGGACTGGATTGACATCCAAGGACTGTGGAGTCTCTCTCCATGGAACACTTTACCGTTAAACATTGGAGAGGCTCACTTCATCCAGGTTTTTAAAGTCTTCTTCAAAACCACCAAATAATTTTCATCATGTCTACAGTGGCATGTTGTTTGTCGATTGGTTATTTTTCGCCTAGAGTCCCTGAAGGAAACCCACGTTAACGTCGTGCTGCAACATCATCAACAATATCATCAGCAAGCTGGAGGCAGTAAGGAATGATCGTCTACAATCACTTAGCACATGGAGCCAACAAAGTTTAAGATGTTCATCACAGCTAATTAATGTTAATCTCTGTTAGTTTTGCACCTATTAAGATTAAATTTGGTGTCAGAAGCAGCAGAGAGTGATCTGCTGTGAGAGCTATACACTGAAAAAACATCTCCACCACCTACAACTGCTAAAAACCTGAAAAGTTATTGATAATCTTTAAAGAGCAAGTCAACCCCTACCACAGTCTAACTCCACTCCCACTTCATGTTTGAAAAATGCAACAAATGCTGTTGCCTGGCAGACCGAGAAGGCGTAGCTGCTAACAAATACACACACACACACACAGGCTCACAACATCATTGTGACATAATGTACCAGTTTACATCATAGCATACCTCTTAGCCAATAGCAGTGGCAGATTTAAATGAAAATATGGTGCAGAGTTTTTACTTGACAACGGCACAACACTGCCAGTTTTAGGCAGAATATTCAAATTTTAACTAAAATGCACTGAAGTGCCAAATTATTGACCACACATGTCTGCAGCACGATTAGACACTCGTTTATTTAGTTTATCAGCAAAAACACGTTTATTTGGGGGTGACTTGCTCTTTAAAGGTATGGAACACAAAAAAAAATATTATTAAATTATTATTATTTCTGATTATAATTGGTCACTGGTTTTGTATGCAAGCTGAACATAAAAATTGCCTCCTACACCTTTCTCCTGCTTTAGCTTCTGATAGAGAATAGACGGTGAAACTCTAGGGTTACAAAAGCCTGAAAGATCTACGTCACACTGTCACTTAACATTCATGGACTCGAAACATGATGGGGGAGGCTGTTTTTGATTCAGCATCCAGGAGAGAGTAGAGAATGTCTCGGCTTGTAGCAACTAATCGTTAGCATTAGCAACTCCACCACACAGCAGAACTCCTTCAGGCTTGTGTTATTTGTGGAGATAAAACGTTGAGCAAACAATTAGTGGTAGAGCCATGTTGCTGTGGTCCAATCTGAGGCGAGATGTCAAAATATCATCGCTCCAAATCCTGAAACAGTCCCTTCTCCTGTCTCCCGGCCGGTAACAGGCGCAGGCGGCCACCCGCTCCCATCTTGGCTGAGTCATCCAGTCCCCAGGCTGCCATGCAAGGCTGTATTTGTCCTGGTTGCCTGTGGAGCTCTCTGAGAGAGGCAACAGAAATGCTGCAGCTCTTTGATGATACTGCTGCTTCACTTTGTAGTCACTCACCTGTGTTTTTTTTTCAAAAAGCACCTTAAAACCTCTGTTAACTTCAGATTAGCATGTAGCTAATGCTAGGGATGGGGGCGATCCGATCCAGTATTGGAATCGGGCTCCGATATGGACTTAAAGAGCAAGTCAACCCCTACCAGAGTCTAACTCCACTCCCACTTCATGTTTGAAAAATGCAACACATGCTGTTGCCTGGCAGACCGAGGGGGCGGAGCCGCTAACAAATACACACACACTCAGGCTCACGACAGCATTGTGACATCATAATGTACCAGTTTACATCATAGCATACTTCTTAGCCAATAGCGGTGGCAGATTTAAATTAAAATACAGTGCAGAGTTTTTACCTGACAACGGCACAACAATGCCAGTTTTAGGCAGAATATTTAAATTTTAACTAAGATGCACTGAAGTGCCAAATTATTGACGACATGTGTCTGTAGCACAATTAGACACTCGTTTATTTAGTTTATCAGCAAAAAAAAAGTTTATTTGGGGGTGACTTGCTCTTTAAATCACGGATTGGAAAATTCCAACCCAACCTGCACAAATTTCCGATCCAGAATTATGTCTTTTGTAATGTCTAAATAAGACATCCCAGGCTGGGAGGCGCTGTCTGTGCCCCAAAGGCACAGAGAGATGACGTGGCTCCTTTCAGGAAGTCCACTCACAGCAGTTACAGGTAGCGGGCTAGCATGAGCAACGCCAAACTTTTATACACAAAATGTCCACTGTGTGGAAATATTTTACTCTGGAAGCTCCACAAAGCAAGACAGCAACGTGCAATGTTTGCAAAGCTGTTGTTCCAAGAGGTGGAACCTCCGTCGCAACTTTCAACACTACTAATTTAATCAAACATTTGAAAAAACACCACCCGAGGGAGCATGAGGAGTTTTTAACGAGGGGGCAGAAAGTAGAAAAGCGACACCAAGAATCGCTACTGGAGTCATTCAAGAAGCAAAGTAAACTCCCCACAGACAACGTTAAAGCCATGAGGATTACAGAAAAGCTGCTCAACTTCATTGTACTTGATGACCAACCACTATCAGTGGTGGAAAATTTGGGACTTCGCAGCCTGATTGAACACTTGGAGCCAAGGTACAGTTTACCCTCCAGGACATATTTATCAGAGACAGCGCTACCTGAGCTATACAACCGAGTGTCAACCAAGTTAGCCGGGAA